CCCGTGGACCGGTGACAACTCGCGCCCCGCGCGCACGCGCCAGGGGCATGGTGGACGACAGGACGAACATGGCATGCGAGAAGGCGGTGCGTGGATTCGTTGCTGATCTCCAGAAGCTGGGCGAGCCCTTCGAGACGGTGCTCCAGAGAGACCAGGCGCTCGCTGCCTACCTCTCGGACCAGTGCTACGCGAGGAACCTAGGGTACGCCAGGGGCATCCTGCTCTTAAACGGCTGCATGCACACCGTCGAGGATCACAGGAACTTCCTTCCCCAGTCGGCGAGGGCTTTGACAGCCTGGGAGCGCGCCGGCAGCAAGGGCAGAAAGGCCCGCCGATACCCCTGCAGGGAAGCGCCCTCATCACCCTCGGACCGCTCCAGGGCCGGCCGCGTCTTCGAGGCCTGTGCGGTGGTCGTGCAGCTGGACGGCTGGCTGAGGGAGCAGAGCTGGGCGCAGCTACGGAGAGGCGACGTATCGTGCGACTTGGCCAGGCAGAGGGCACTTCTCAGGGGTGATCGGGCACGGGCCGAGACGGTCAAGACTAGCTCAGCTCAGGGAGTCGAGCTGCTGATGGAGCTGTCCAAGGGTGCATGCTGCAGGACCTGACCAGGGACTACCTTGTGTTCCCATCACGCCAGCTGAAACGCGTCGGTCGAGAGGCTGGTACCGGAGGCCCTAGGACCGCCTATTGGCATTCGGCATGCTGGAGAGCGCGCACGACGTGGCCAACGGAGAAGACCTTGAGATTGCGAGGAGGAGGGGGCGTTGGAACACGTCCAGTGCCCTCCAACGCTACACTAAGACGCACGTGCTGATCCGGAGTTCGCTGCTGCAGGACACCGACGTCTCGCGGGGCAAGCAGCTCAGGCAGGATCCAGGCATGGCGATGAGCAGTGCGCTGGAGAAGTCCAAGGCGGCATCTAGGCCGCTCACCCTTCGTCTCGCCTTAGCACTCCAGCCATTGGCAGACGGTTCGTGTTCCTCTTAGGAATGGCGGCAACTGTGCCGACCGAGGGCATCAATGCTCGACCGAGGTCGGGCATCGAAGCTCAGCTTCGGAGACGCAGTGCATGATCTTTGTTTCTCTCGTGTTTGTTAGTGCTCAATCAGATCGTTCCTGGACAAGATTCGACACGTCTTGAGATCCAAGAGTGTTCCGTAGCTGGGAGGACCGTAAGAGATTTAACATGTTCGTTCGCTCTCCCCCACCCTCCCCACCCCCCGCCCTGGGTCACTCGCTGCGCTGCGCACTAGTTGAAGACCTGTAGGCCAGAAGAGGCTTATGGGCCGTATGTGTCCAGTCCAACAATTAAGAAATGTCAATTTGGTCTCGGGCCGTTTCGGCCCTCGTGCGGGTTGGGTGCCGATGAGGGCTCCACGGAGGCCTGAGCACGATCGTGGAGTGGATTGTTTCGAACTGCCCCCCTCGCATCGCTCTGTACTTGTACGTGCTCGTGATCTGCTGCTCTGTCGGATATTCGCTCTCCCTCACGTTGTTTTTATTCGCTAGGCCTGTCGGCTTGCATGCGTGCGCCGCCTGCCACCTTCAGCCCTGGCACTCGGGATCCAAGTATCGCTTGGACAGGCTTTGGCACAACGCGTGGCCGCATGGGCGCTTCCACGTGGCATGAGGGGCAGCGGTGGTTCGCTGGAGGCGTTTTCGAGATCGCACGGCATAGATTGTACCACGCGGTTTGCACCACAACTATTGCACGACGTAGGTTTCAAAAGCAGCATGCAACATAGCTTGCACCACATCGCTTCCACCACGACGACTGCTAAACAATGATTGGGCCACAGTGGCTGTCCATGGATTGCACCGCGTATCGATTGCGCTACCTAGCTTGCACCTCGCAGCATGCACAACAGAAGCTGCGTCCCATAGACTGCACCCCACTCGTCACACATGCAGACTGCAAGGTCCTATTCCTTGGCGTGGGCCCACGATGGCTAGCATCATGCCAGCGAGCGGGCCCCCGCAGGGACATCCTGGTCCTCTGAGGCCCTCGGGAGCAGAGCGTAACGCGAAGGCCCCCAGCGATCATCACTTGACACAATGTTTGGTCCATGTGCCCAGTGTGCGTTCCGAGCGCCGCTGGCTCGACGCCAGTCACAAAGGATTGCTGGCTCGACGCCAGTCACAAAGGCTCGATTCAAAGCAGCGAGAAGCACGGACTGCAAGGATGCAAGGCCATGCAACGGCGCGAAAGCCAAGGAGGCGCGCGCCCAAACGTGCCAAGGATGGCCAGAACCGAAAGATGCAATGTATGAGGGTGTGCCGCTGGATCTCCCCAATCGAGGGGGGGGCGTTAGGACCCCCCCCCCTCCCCTCCCTTCCCCGATCCGTCGTCGGGCAATCCCCCCCCCTCCCCCTCCCCCCCTTCCCCGGATCCGTCGTCGGGGAACCCCCTCCCCACCTCCCCCCCTTTCCACGACCCGTCGTCGGGGACCCCCCCCCCCCCTCCCTCCCTTTCAAAGGGGGGGGGGGGGTCCGACCCCCCCCCCCCTTTCGCCACGCCGCCCCCTGACGCCAGAACCCGACCCCCGCCACCCCTACCCTTAGTCCTCACCCGAACCCAAACCCCGAATCCGAACCCTAACCACTAACCCCATCCCCAAAGGGAGTCACGAGGGGCCCCCTACCCCCTAACCACTAACCCCAGCCCCCCTACGCACTACCCTCTACTCACTACTCGCTATTCGCTACTCACGAGTCACTACTCACTATCCACTTCTCACTACCCACCACCCACTAATCGCTACTCACTACTCCCTACTCACTACTCCCTCCTTCCTACTCACTACTCACTCCTCACTACCCACTACTCAATACTTACTACTCACTAAGACCTACTCACTACTCCCTATTCACTGCTCAATAATCACTACCCATTACCCACTACCCACTATCCACTACTCACTACTCACTACTAACTACGCATTGCCCACAAATCACTACTCACGACCCACTACTCGCTACTCGCTACTCCCTACGCCCTACACAGTACAGACTACACAGTACTCAGTACTCGCTACTCGCTACTCCCATACTCGCTATTCAATACTCACTACTTTTTCCCCGGTACTCACTATTCACTACTCACTACTTTCTACTCCCTACTGACTAGTCACTACATAGTCTCTAGTCACTAGTCACAACTCACTAGTCACTAGTCACTACTCACTACCCAATACTCACCAATCGCTACTCACTACCCACTATTCGCTACCCGCTTCTTACTACTCACTGCTCACTACTCCCTACTCCCTACTCAGCACTCATTACTCACTACTCACTACTCGCTACCCCCTACTCGTTACTCACTAACCACTACCCACTACTCACTACTGACTACACTCTACTCACTACTCACTACTCACTATTCGCTACTCACTACTCACCACCCACTGCCACCACCCACTACTTTTCTATTCACTATCCATCACTACTCACTACTCACTACGCACTACGCACTACGTACTACTCAGTACTCACTACTCGCTACTCACTGTTCACTACTCACTACTCACTACTCGCTTCTCACTACTCACTACTCACTACTCACTACTCACTACGCACTACGCACCACCCACCCACAACTCACTACTCACGAAACACTAGTCGCCACCCGTTACTCACTACCCACTACTCACTACCCAGTACTCATTACTCCCTAGTCCTTACTCAGTACTCACTACTCGCTACTCGCTACTCACAACTCACTACTCGCCACTCACTACTCACTTATCAGTACACACTACTTACTCAGTGTTCACTGCTCACTACTCCCCACTCCCTACTCACTACTCCCTACTCGCCACTCACTACCCACTACTCATACTCGCTACTCACTACTACTCACTACCCAATACTCACTACTCACTACGCACTAACTCACTACTCACTACTCACCACTCCCTACTCCCAACTCCGTACTCCCTACACGAGGGAAAGGGGAGTCCGACCCCCCCCCACCCCTTTCCAGCGCCAAGAAGGGGGGGGGGGGGTCCGGACCCCCCCCCCGTTCAAGGGAGAGAGGGGGGGGGAGGGTTCGGGACCCCCCCCCCCCCATTAAGGGGGGGGGGTCCAGACCACCCCCCCCACCTTGAAGGAGGGAGGGGGGGGGGGTTCTGGACCCCCCCCCCTTTAGTGTGTTCAGGGAGATCCACTGGCGCACTTTCACAATGTGTCCTGGCGGTGAGGGCCCATCGTTTGCGCCCGATGCGTCTGTATGCTACGCTGTGTAGCATCAAGCGGCGCAGGCCACCCGAAAGCGCGCCCCGAACGTTTGTGGCGAGAACGGCGGCGCGTTCCAGAGCGCGGCCACACATTATGATCTCTCAGGTGGGTTCGCCTCACCAGCGGAGGGCCACAATCGTCAGAAGCGACAAACCTTATCTGTCTATGGAGGCCCCGGGGACGGGCCAAGATGAGCTCTAGGGTGAGGTCGCCAAGAAGGCCAACGAGGTCCCGAGACCAGCCTACAATGCCCAAATTGCAACCAATAATCCCCGATGTCAGCGTCGGGGCCACAACGGGCGGCGCTGACTCACCATAGGCGTCTTCGAGCTATGCAACCTGGTACTGGACTCCAACTTGAGGATGCACCTGCCGTGCTCAAGCTCAAGCACGGGCCCCGGACGAAGCGCGCGCACGATTGCGGCGACCGTGACGACTTGGAGGCACGGACATTCCGAGTGCGCGCGAAGAGGAACTCGTTACTGCCCGTGCGCGCACGGCGGTGGAGAGTGGCATATCAGGGGGTCCTAGTCAACTTCCAGCACGGGGAGGGGAAGGGGGGGACGGCCAAAGGTGGGAGAGGATGAGCGGGGAGCGGAGGGCGAGAAGGGTGGGGGAGGGGGGGCGGGGCGGAGTCCGAGGAGGTGAGGGGGGGGCAGCGGGATAGCGTGGGAGGACAAGGGCAGGGCAGAAACATAGAACTGGTCAGAGGAGAGGGGAGGGCAAAAGGGGGAGGCCCCCCGGGATGCTCGCGCAGTCGCCTCTCAGCGGCCCGCCAGCCCAGCTCCCTCTTGGAGTGGCATCGCTTTGCCATTAACTTGAAGCGGAAGGCCACCTGGTTGCCATTTTTGTTGCGGGGGGCTGAGTCTGCTGCTCCAAAGAATGCGCAAGATCCGCAATCCAGAACAGAAGCACTGATTCATCCGCTGCTCCAGATCGGACCGATTCAAACCGTGCAGCACAGAGACTCGTGAGGAACCACCCTGCGCACAGTCCGCTTGGCGCGGCCGCCTTCAGGAGGTTGCCTCGTGGCTGCAGGCGGCCTGCGGGCCACCTTCAGGCAGGCCCACAGGCGAAGGCCCGCTGTGGACAGGATGCAGGCGGACTCACAGCAAGCCAGCCAGGGAAGGGCGGGAGGAGGAGACAACAATGTGTTCTGTTGCTCCCCACTGGCCGGCCAGCGCGGTCTCGCCCAACTGCCCTCGTCACTCTCTGCCGAGATGGAAACTGCGCAGGACCATGAGATCGAGCGGCGCGATTTCTCTAGGCATGGGCCCCCGTCCCCGAAGGTCATTTCTAGATTCGACGTGCTCCAGAAAGACAATTTTCTCGGGTTGGAAGGATGGGGTTGGGAGGATACGGGACACGACTGTGCAGTGAGCGCATCCGACATGCCCGAGAATACGGATGGCCTGACCATCTCTCGCAGCCCCATCATCCCAACCCAATAATTAGTGAGCGTTCTTTTAAATCGGCGTTTCGGCATTGGGCGGAAAGGGGGGGGGCGAGGGGGGATCTGGCTCCAGACCTCTGCTTAGTGCGGCTGTTTGCGACAATGCGTCCCATGAGGGGAGACTCTACCCGCTCGAAACAAATGCCAAAAAACAACCAAAATCTACTCCATGGGGGGGGGCAGGAGGGTACGAGGGCCCGCGCCGACCGGGAAAACAATGAATAAAAGCACGATCACTTGTCTTTCTGAATGTTTGACTGTCCTGGGGCCCGATACCAGCCATCAGAGGGGGCCCGAGCGAAGAGAAAGCAGCCGCCGCCTCGGTGTGGATCGAAAACCGCCAGGTCTCTGCCGCTTCCCGCTTGCCACTCCCTCTGGGAGAGGACGCCGAGACGCCCAGGCTCTCGGGCCAGACCTGTGGCCAGAGAGCGAGTCTCCGAGCGGCGGTGCTCTGGAGGTAGGAAAGGGGTATGGTATGAAGGTGTGTGGTGCACATTTCATGTAAAGGGGCCTCTGGCGATGGGATGTATCGCAGATAGCATCGCCATCTCCACGATTGGCACCATACCCCTTTATGCCACACCCCTTTCCGACCTCCAGAGATACAGCGTCCGTGCGCACCCGATCAGCAGCGATGTTACACACGTTCGACTTCCGCGGAGGAGAGCCACATGGTTGGTCATCTCGCACGGGCATGGGCTCCTGGGCGGTGCTCAGCACGAGAAGCCTGTTGACCGTGCGATCACGAGGCCACACCTGACCTCCCAGTGCTCAGCACGGTAGGCTTTCTGACCGCGTGATCCTGATGCCACAACTGATCCTGGCAGCCCTGCGGGCGCAGATGCTCGACGATCGAAAGCCTCGCGCCTTCAACCTCTGAGCTACTAGTTATTTGCTGCTTGGCTTTGGCAGGCCCCGCTGGAACTAACAGAAAGCTGGGAACACACATGGCCGATTTCGGAATCACTGAGCCCAAAAAAGTGTTTTCACTTCCGCCGCCCTCCGCCGCCCTTCCGCCGGCGGAGGCGGCCCCGTTTTGCTTCCATCGACCTTCCGCCGCCCTTCCACCGCGGAAGAGACGACAACTCCTTCGACCCTCGAAGGCAGGGCCGTTTCTGGAACGCCCCACATGGCTGGATTTCCGGGCTGAACATCTGAAGGCGAGACGCGTTGGATACGTGTGCGGAAGCCTGGATTGCGCGGCCGTGTATAAGGGCCGAGCGCCCGATAGAGATATCCCGCCACACTTGTATATATATATATATACACACCTATATATATATACATATATATAGCTCTCCTCCTCCTCCTTCTCCTCCTCCTCCTCCTTCTCCTCCTCCTCCTCCTCCTCCTCCTCCTCCTCCTCCTCTTCCTCCTCGCAGGCCAGCTGCGTCAGTTGTGGTCTGGCTTCCTGGCACGAGCGAGCCCTCGGAACGAGGGGGCCTACCCAGACATGATCGCGCCGTAGAAACATCACCACGGGAGGTTGTTGGCCGCTTTCGGCCTCACGGGGGCCCTCGCCGGACCCCGGGAGCGTCAACAAAACGACTTAGGATGAGAAGCCCGTCCCGGGGAAAGGGTCGGGACTTCCGGTGACCGCGCATTGAAACCGTCAAAACGTCGCGTGTCTCGGTATAGGGCGTTCCAAGCGCCACCTGCTCCAAACCAGCCTGAGCTAAACGCCGCCTCCCACACTCGAGCGGTCGCCGATCTCTCTGCTGAGGAACAGCTCCTCCACCGCCTCGAGTGGCCGCCGACCCCTCCACTCCTGAAAGAGCCTACGCTCGGGCAGACGCCGGGCCACGAGGGCCCCCACCGTCGCCCTGCTTTGGCTCCTTGGCGGTGGCGGGCGCGGGGCTGGCGGCGGCCCGTGTGGTCTGGCTGGTTGGGCCCCGAGGGAATCGGTCTGGAGCGGGGGATCAAAGCAAATCCGCTCAAAATCCGGTCCCAGGTTACCAGCCTCGATCGTATCCCTATCCCTAAGATTGACACGCCAAAAGGCGATGACAATCTTAGGGATTCGCCCTCAAAAAATAAGGGAATCCCCAAGATTGGCATCGTGATGAGGAGGTGCCCAGCAGAGGGATAGGGACATGTTCCAGGCCTGTAACCAAGGCCCCTCCTGGAGTCCACCTGGTGCGGTCGTTCATCCCCGGTCTGCTTCTGACGGCCCGCGGGGCCGGAAGGCGGGCCCCGGAGACCGCACGGGCCAGGCACCACCTGGTGCGGTCGTTCATCCCCGGTCTGCTTCTGACGGCCCGCGGGGCCGGAAGCAGACCCCGAACCTGCCCCTCGGGATATGTTCCAGGCCGGTAACCAGGGCCCCTCCTGGGGTCCACCTGGTGCGGTCGTTCCTCCCCGGTCTGCTTCTGACGGCCCGCGGGGCCGGAAAGCGGGCCCCGGAGACCGCACGGGCCAGCACCCCTCTGTAGCCCAGCACCCCGAACCTGCCCCTCGGGACATGTTCCAGGCCGGTAACCAGGGCCCCTCCTGGGGTCCACCTGGTGCGGTCGTTCCTCCCCGGTCTGCTGCCGACGGCCCGCGGGGCCGGAAGGCGGGCCCCGGAGACCGCACGGGCCAGCACCCGATCGGGAGCCCAGCACCCCGAGCCTGCCCCTCCCCCTCGTGCTGGCCGGAGCCAGGTGCCGAGCCACCCCGGGCCCCCAGCCGGCTCCAGGGCGGGGGGACCGACGTCGAGCTGCTATGAACATTCAGCTTCGCGGTGTTTGCAAGATTTCGAGGGATTCGACCAATCTTTTATTATAGGGGGGAAGCAAACCTACCTCGCTTTTGACCACCCTCGCTTCCAGGAGATACCAAACGATGCCAACTTGCAGCCTGTACTGGTCAGGCCGCTCGACGAGGAGGCGCGTGGCATGGCTTGGTTTTGCCTGGAAGCGACAGCGGGGCAGGTAATTTACGCTCTGATTCTAGAATCGGAGATTTCTGCTCAACATTGGATCGCGCTGCGCTTGCCGGGAAACGTATCGTCATTGCTGCCCCCCTGTGCGCGGGCCGCCCGTCTGTCCCGGCGGCGAGCGCAGAGCGAGCCGTGCCCCAGAGAGGCGCACGGCCCCCTGCGGGCTCGCCAGGCGTCACCGCAGCCGGCGCCTGCCCAGAGCACACTCGTGCCTCGCGTCCTGGACAAGCAAGCAAAAAAAGCAAACACGAAAACGAACGAACACAACACAGCAAACAAAACATAAGCACAGAACAAGAAACAACATAAAACAAACATAAACAAACAAACAAAACGCGACCCAAACTTCTTCGCTATGTTCGGCATCTGGGGGCCCTCACCAAGCTTCGGGACCGTCAAACAACTACTCAGGATGAAAAACCCGTAGTCGGCAGGAGTAACATGACGTCGGGGATCTCCGCACCCTGAGGTCGGACGCTGCGAAGAACATGCTCCGGCAAAGCACCCGAGCCGCAGCACGGCGCGACCACGTGCACCTCGGCTGTTCTACTGGGGGTCGTGGCCGCCCAGATCGCACGTGCAGCCAGCCTTTAGAGCGAGGGCACGGCTCGTGCCTAAATTGGCAGCACGTCTCCGGCGAAACAGCTGCCAGACCCGATGGCCTCGGCCTCCCCGTCCCCCCTGCGGGGCTCTGCTTTGGTCCTTCAGGCCTCGGAACAAAGTAGCGAACGCTCATGCCACATTCATCCGTCAACGCTTCCCCCTCCCCCCATTGTTCAAAGTTGGCGGTGGGTCTGACGAGATGCACTTCGACCGCAGTCTCCCCCGCGCGTGCCAGCGTTGAGTTTGGGGGGGGAGGGGGAGTGGTCAGTAATTGTTTCCCTGTGCCGTTTGAATCCTTTGCTGGCACCCCGTGAGGAAAATGCAGTCGCGAGGCGTCACGACCGCAGCCCTATAGTCGCAGTGCTTCTGCGGGAATCCTCGAGCCGGATCGATCCGCGCTGGCCCCTGGCACCCGCAGCTGGGCAAACGTGCCCGCCAAACCGGGCCAAGTGCCCAGATCTCCAGGCAGGCCACCACAACTTCTCACCCTAGCGCGTCGCGCTGCGCGCCCCGCGGTGCGCGATATCTTCTGGCGGCGCACTCAGCGGGGTAGGGGGGGGGGGTAAGGCTTCTTAGAAGGAGGCTGCTTCTTAGAAGGCGCCGGCCTTACATCTGTAGACAAGGCCAGCGCCTCCTACGAAGCAGGGGTGCATCTAGGAAGCCTTCCCCCCTCCCCCTACGAGCCGCATGGTAAGCATGCGCGGTAAGGACGCAAGGGCCTTGGAGGGCCATGTCAACGTTTCTCGACCGAGGCTGGCCGGCGAAAGTCGCCGAGGATGGGCCGAAGGGGCGAGGATGCAAGGGCAGGCTTGGGAAGTTGCTCATCCTTACTACTCTCAAGTCGGGCCTGTCCCCCTAC